CTGCTTTTTCAGCACGCCAGTACTCGACGCTCAGGTGGAGGACGGAGACAAAACTGGGCAACAAGTTCAAGAACGTCACATTGTACATGTGAGAGTCATTATATATGATGTGGATTTCCTTGGGTGGGAGAAAACCGAGTCGTTGACCTGACGCCGCCTGGCGGCCTGTTTTACGCCCCGTTGTTCCGCCGCTCTGGGAGGCGAACTTTGACGACAGGTTGACCCCCCGTGAAGTTGACCAAATGGAACAGCGCTCGGAGACTATGGTGATTGATAAGCATAGACCTGAAATATCGTTTCTATTAGGTTGGATCAGCTTTGTGAAAGCCGAAACAGACCTTCGCGCGCCGGTGCCTCAAAACGCGGCGGAACTTCCTCAACCGACGCAGCTCCTACGGCCGGCCGTGAGTCTGTGCTGCCGCTGCGGCCGCAAGAGCTATGGAATAATAAGCTGCAGTCATTAATACTCTTCAAAATACTCCTGCTTTTGCCTAACCTCTCTCGGTTTTATGTTTATGTTTACCGATTCTGAACAGGTTGTTTTCCTATGTCGGCAACTGGGGCCCGTTGTACCGCATGCCTCCGCGAAGGGGAAGCTACTGGTTTCCGAAACATGCGGCCAAGGACCAGCAACCAAGTCCGGGGTTTCGTAGAGGAGGTCGGCATCTCAAACCAGTTTCCGGCCTTGGACGAGGCGAATTGAGGCGTCAGCGCCCTTGTACTGTGTAAACGTCCGTCTTGCTTGTTGCAGCTGTACAACAAGCACGAGCAAAGGGCTAACAAGGACCGTAGTAACGACCCGCGAGCGCGCCAGGCAGCTCGGACGCCTCGCCATGCCAAGGTGCGGAGGACTGCTCCTAAACCACTAACGCACTTGAGGCGTCGATGGGTCGATAGGTACTGCACCTCGCCTGAGGCGGCGGATGCTTTGCTGGGTGATGTGGATATCACGGGATGCGTTTTGGACATGTGCGGTGGGCCCACGGACGCCGTCGCGACCCGCCTTCGATCCGCGTGCGAGATACTCACGAACGACGTGAGCTCGGGGTAAGAGCGTTGTTCTTGTGTGAGTTAGCTTGAACGTACCCAGCAGCAGGAAAAAAGTCCTTGCACATAGATGGTCAGATAATAGTGCAAGGAAACACAGGGGGCAGCCGACAAAGGACCTCCGGGCAGCAGTTTTTATGTGGAAAATATACTGCAAATGATTATGGTGAGGACTGTTCAGGCCCGACATGGCACGTGATCATCACGTTATGCCGCAGGTACTGAGCAATACAAAAGTGAATACCAGGTGTTTTTCATGGATACGAAATTTCGTCCCGCTCTTCTGTGAGTTTGCCCCGGGCTATTTACCCCCCCCGACATTAATAACCGTTGCTCAGGGGCTAGACTTTCCATGACTTGGTTTTTGGCTTTGGCTGTTGCCATATGTACCAGGTGCCTTGCAAGGGTGACGTCTACGTTTGAAAGACAAGATTCCGTACTGCATGGCCTCAACCGCACAAGGTCGTGTGCCCTTTGACAGGCACGGGCCACGCTCCTTATAGCATGTTTAGGGGGCATCCTTCTCGAACACAGGCGTTGTTACTGTAAGTCCAGGGGGTGTCTTTGTTGAAGAGGGAGCGTCTCATACGTTTGGCGAATCGGCCACATGCTGGCGCATGGTTTTATTTTCCGTATCATGCGCGCGATCGCTGAAATGTTTTTTGCTGTTGTTCTCGATGACAGGCGTCCAGCGGATACCAACCTTGACGCAAGCTTGGAATCATTCCCGGAAGACTTTCTCGCAGCTTACTCCGGGAAAAGGCCTGAGTGGGTGGTGACGAGCCCTCCGTACAGCAGGGCTCTGACTTTTGTCAAGGCCGCCATGTCGTTGGCGACAAAAGGCGTGGCGTTCAAAATGCCCATTTCTTTCCTGGAACCTTGCGCCGACCGGGGTGGTTGGCTGCAAACGAACCCCCGTCTGTGTGTTTGTTTCTACGCAGAGCAAAATACACGCGTGCGAACAATGCGAAGGTGGGCGAATTCTGTGGTGTGTGTTATTCTCAGGAAGTGAGCTGCCGCAACAAGACGAGGCTTGTTTTCTGTCCTGATTAGCACGGCTG